CCAGGAGGGATGACACCGCCTGTTCCTTCTCACAATTGCATTCAGGTACTCTGGATACATATTTGCCAGCTCTCATGACCCACTGATGCTACTCCCTCCTATGGAAAGCAGGCACTCACCAGGTATTAGAGAAGCAGCTTTTAACACCAATAAAGGATTTGTACGGGCTGTAGTTAAGACTGAACAAAGACTAAGGAGAAGCTCTTTTACAGCACAAGTTTGTGCTTGTATCTTTTTCAAAGTAGGTATTCCAGTAGGAAAAGGCAAAATAATAATTCCCCTGGCTTTTTTCTTTGGCAAGCATTGCTTTGATTGGTGATTGAGACCCACGCTAAAACATTAATTTAGGGTAATTTGGGGGAACAGCAGCACCCCTCCGTGACTAACGTATTTAAGTCGGAGTGGGTCAGCATCTCCAAACCCGGGGTGTCCCAGAGAGCTGCCGCGTGCTGCCAAAATCATCCCCTACCGAGTTTACGGGAGAGGGAACTACCAAACCTCGATGACTCAGGCTTGTTTTCACAAGGCATGTGCAGAGGGATTTTTTGGGGGGCTCCTGTGGAGTTCTGCACCTCGACTGGGCCTCTCGGGGTCTCCTGCCCTACCTTTCTACGCTTTGAGGTGTCCACGGTTAGCCCCGCACGCTGGTGCGCTGCACCAAGCTAATCATCGGCACGGAGAGAAAGGATATTGTCAGAGTGCAAAATGATCTGTTTTCAGGCAGGAAGCAGTCAACTAGATGTAAATTCCATGAAACAAAAGAAGGTATTATTTACAGTTTTATTGTGATGTTAATTAATATTTACATCTTGGAATGAAAAATAGAAATGTTAATGATTGGCTTTACTAAAAGGATCACTTGATGCCAATGTGAAAGCCAGGGAGAGAAGGCAATTATGCAAACATCACATGCATCCTAATTTCAGTATGGAAACTTACATTTCAAACCTCAATTCAGGAAAATAACATGGAAAGTTTGTACTACAAAATCTAAACATGAGAAAGATTTAAGAGAAAAAAAAGCACATTGCATATGTCAGATAATCTAGCCTGATTATCTGAGCTGTGCTAGCTACAGGGAAGCACTTACCCTTGAGTCCAGCTAGAAGTTAGCAGGGTAAGAAGGAACAAACCAGAATAACATAAAGACTAGCAACAAGGCTCAGGAAAGCAGACAGGAGCCCTAACCTAGCAGCTAAATATTTGGGTTCAAGCAAAGAATGAAAAAGAAACTTAAAGAAAATCAAACCAACCAAAAAAAAAAAAACCCACTTACAGCTGAAAATTTCTTAAGCAGCTCAATAAACCTTGCTACTTACTATGGGGGAACAAATCATTGCAAATTCTCAAAACAACCAACTCTTTGTATATGGTGGGATAAACAGTCATTAAATATAAACAGATATTAAAAAATGAAATATAACCACAAGTGATACGTAAAACAAGTATGGACCAATCTTTCATGTTAAAAAGAAAAGGGTTGCAAAAAAAGAAAAAGAACGTTGAGCATGTTTGGGAATTTTGTTTGATGCATCACTAACACAGAATGAACAAAGATTGGTGCATTCAGACAAGTGACCACTTTTATGAAGCTTAAATATTGCCAAAAGGTGTAATATGTATTGGCAGCATTATTGACTATAATACTGTGCATGAGTTCAACAGTAAACAAGAAACAGTTTTGGGTTTTTTCTTTTATAATGCGAACATTGGAGAAAAGCACAGCTTTGCGTGAATGGAGTTTTTCTTGTAAATTGTAGCAAAACAAAAAAAGCAAAACTTTTCACTCTAACAGGTATTGTTCACCCACATAAAAGGAATTGTAGAGTCATACAAAAATTAATGAATAGCAGGATCTATTTTTTTTTTCAGTACTTAAATTGCAAATAAAATAAACTCCACCCTGGTTCGGAGCTGTCTGCTTACTTCCAAGTCAAGCACTGCTATCGAACTGCAGATGAGAATTTGAGTGCTGCTCGAAGTTTGTATTTACTAAGTCAAAAGAGGTGGGAACCAAATGAATTCACTATTTCTCCCAAGTTTCCCCAACAGCAAAACGTGTTCTTAAGTTTCTGTTTAACAGACAGCTCCATCACAGGAGGGCTGGATTTTCTCTGCATGTGCATGCATGCGCATGTGCCATCTCGGACTGCTACAACAAGAAAGCTATAACAAGTTACTCGTCAAATGGCTTAACATTTACTTCTCTGCACATCCTCATTCACCATATCCTCTAATAAGCACAAAAAATATGGCAGGTATAAAGATAAATGTACAAGAATAAAATGTCTCGCAAAAGTCCTTACCTTTCTGCAGGCAAAAAAAAAACCAAAACCCAAACCAAAAAACCCAATAACAAACCAAGACCCTTTTAAAAATGCAATACTTGATATGTTTGAATTTCAAGACTGAAGGAACTGAGATACGTATTCGTGCATTTAAGACTCCCAATAAGCCATCATGTGTGGCATGCATGACTCACTCATGCTTCTGACTATTTAACTGCTGCGCCCAATGACTTTTGCAACGAGCATTGCCACGTACAAACGCTGAAATATGAAAAATGAGTAGGCCTCGCTGTTGAGGTGAAGGTCTACTGTGGCGTGCTGCCCTCCTCCTCTTTCCAGTGCCTGCAGCAAAAAGGGGAGCCTGAGGCCGCCCAGCTTACGGGGAAAACACATTGTGGATGGAAAGAGGGTGGTGGCATAAAAAAAGGCAAATGATCTCAATTTGGAGCCGGTATCGGCATGAGAACAAGTGAGAGAAACTGAGGTCAGATCCTGACCCCCTCAGACGCCCTGGAGGGACCAGGGAGTGACATCTCAGATGTTTTCACCAGAAGCGAGGATGAGGGATCCCGGCCTCCGGGCAAGCAAGGGAGATGGAAAAAGCAAGGTCAAACCTGTGGCATTTCTACGGCTTTGAGCAGAGTCAGGCTGATACAGGTCTGCAGGACCACGAGCAGCACAAGTCTCCGGTGGGCGTGCTGGGCTGTGGTTAGATGCAGAGGGCTCCTGGGCTCAGTCACTGGCTTCACAGCTCCCTGGCAAGGACTAGGACAAACCAGCTGCCCCTTCTCCATCCCAGTAACCTAGCAGGGGGCTTCAGCTCTCCCCACATACACAGTGCTCGGCTGTGCATGGGGACAACACACCTGAGGGTCCACAGCCCCGGGCATCCCCTTTCCCTTCCCAAACTCCTGGCAGATTTTGCTACAGCTGCTGCCAGGCAATTACGTGTCTGGGAAAGGGAGCCTTCACCTGACCCCACATATTGGTCTGGCAAAGTGTAAACTCCGTAACGTCAAGAATTTACCCAGCAGAAAAATTCTCCAGGCCTGATGTCTGAAGGGATGGGAGAAGCCTGGAGGGAAAGGTGATTCCCCAGTTTGATATTCTCTCAGTGTCCTCATCCCAATCCGCAAGGGTCATGCTGGGATGGGCAGGAGTGCATCCTCTTTGCACCAACCACACAGCCAAGAGCATCCTTCAGCATTGCTTGTTAGGAGAGGGAGCCACAAGCAGCATCCCTCTGCTGCTCTCCCTTGCTACACTTGGAAGGCCTTTAGCATGGAAAAAAGCAGCTGTAGAAGGACCTGTGCCTGCTACATCCAAGAACCTGGGCAGAGGGGCGTACAGCCCCTGGGAGCGCTCTCAGGTCAGCACGACTCAGCCAGGTCTAGAGGCTAATCACAGTCAGTAAACTCCCCACCTGCAAAAGCCCAATTCCTACCTCCCATTTTGGCTTTCTGAGAGGTGTCTTTCCTTCCCGACCCCAATCCTTTATACCTTGCACCCCCAAAAGCCAGTGACCTGACTGGGATGAAGAGGATGAGGGTCACTGAAATGAAAATACTGACTGTGGGTTTACCACGCTGCATCATGCTATGTCCTCACTGACAGCAGCAGCAATGCAAGGCAGAAGGGAGTCTGAAAGATGCAGGCGTGTGGAGGATGAAAAAAAAAAAAAAAAGAAAAGAAAAAAGCAGCAAGCAGAGGTTTTCAGCTGTAACACTGATGGTACAGATGTATGTCTTGCATTGTTATTTTCTATAAATACTGACATGAAGAAGTTAAACCAATATAAAAGGCAGTCAATTACACTGATAAGCAAGGGGCAGATTATGAGTTCCTTACAACAAAATACTCCATAACAGCTTTACAGAGACTTTTTAAATGTTAAAATCTGATTTAATTAGAAGAATTTACTAATATTTACCACTTTTCCTTATTTTACGTGTATTTTATGATACTAATTCTTAAATTTTGCTGAAACTAGCAAGAACTGCTGTATGTTACATAACAAAGAGGCTCCAGACGCGTGATCAAGACCTTCAAGAAAAATGAGCGAGGAGGCATTCGTCTGGTTTATAATCAAATTACATTTGCAAGACAAAAGAAATTGCTCTAAATTTCAAATTAAGCAAACTGGGTATAACTGCACAGGACATGCAGCATAGCTACGACTCAAAAGATGATTGCTTTAAATTCACATCTAACTGGCCTGCAAAGCAACCTGTTAAAAATACCATATGTTTTCCTACAGTTGAATATTCAACAGGAGACCTCTTTTTGTGTGTGCATTTCATACTTGCAAGATTTGCACCTGTAGTTCTGAGCACGTGATGCATTTGATAGACAGCTAATGGCACTAATGAATCGCTCTGATCTGGGTGTGCAGTTTATTGTGTGGGGGTAAAACGCACGTCTGCAGAAAGCAAGCTGGGTCTCAGGCTCTCAGATCCCAGTCTCTCCTCCATCAAGTATTGCACTTTAAAATACTCATTGACAAGTTCCCCAAGGAGTTTTGTTTCTTGGGTTTGGTTGTGCTAAACACACAGGTTAACTGGGTCTAGATCCACTGATGTAAAAAGCAGCTTAATGATAATGAAAAAAATTTCATTTTGGAGTCAGAAACATGTATGCGAATATTGATTTACATCAGTGCAGAAAATCTTTCCATCAAAGACTTCTGCTCTGTAGGAGAACTTATTTACTTACAAAATTGAGAGATTGGGGCGTCTAGCTGGGGTACATTTCCTCCTTTAGCATTTAGCTTTTGCACTTGGGTAGGCGGCACAGGTTTGTGAGACTGGCCGGTGGCTCGGTACATGGCTTGGACCCACAGGATACGGTCCTGCTCATCGTCACTTGCAAAAATCACCGTGTCTCCTTCCTTCACAGCATTGAAGAATGCTCTGCCGCCCTCCAAACCTGGCAGGAGAGGAAGTGACAGCAGAGTTTTGCAGACTTTGAGGCCAGCCAGGAGATCTCCCCTGGCTTCCCACCCCACCAGCACCCTGGGTGACCCCAGCCAGCCTCGCGCTGCCGCCAGCTCCTGGCTGAGCTCAGTCCCCACCCCTGTGCCAAACTCACCTTCGAGAGAGCCCGCCAGGTCCCCAGGTAGCACCCTGCACCATGATTACTAACATGTGCCCCAACACGCTCGGATTAATTGCTTCTCTCGCCTACAGCCCTGGCTGTGCAGGTCCTGTGTGGGTTGCACCACTGGAGCCCCATTAAGAACGAGTTTTGAGGGGATGCGGTGGGAGGTTTCCCATTAGAGCAAGTGCACCAGTGCTCACACTGCACAAAAGGTGCTTGGGTGATGTGCTTATTTCTGTCTTTGGCCTGATTCGGCACCCATCTTCCCATCTCCCTAACATTGGAATTAAACTGGAATCAAGGTCTTGACAACCAACCTACTGTGTCTTCCTTCATCTCCTCTGGGGACACCGCTATCCAGGGCATGGTGAGGATCACCATGCTCAACGCGTCGCCCCACCAAAATAAAAGAAATGTGGTGCTCCTCCCCTTGAAGAAGGGTCTCAGCACCATGTACACAACAGGTACCTCCAGGTACCAGGGGGCTTTCTAGTCCTGCCCCTTCCACTCACTTACATCTATCAGAGAGTAAATGGGGCAGGCAAAAATACTGGGTTGGTCCCATAAATATTTTCTACAATAAAGACAGGCATAGCTGCTAACCTTATATTTAGGGAATATGATTTGAAGGCACAGGTTAGGATCATCACTCGATTTGAGCATTCAGTTCACAATCAAATTTCATTGGGATTTAAGCATCTAATTCACTTAGGCTCCCCAGAGAAGATGAGTCTTTCCCTCCTCTGGTGCAACTCCTAGCTCAATTCCTTAGATCTATTCATAGTAAAGTCATGCATAGCTAATGATCAGTATAAACACACACATATTTATAATAATGCTGATCACAGTTCAGCTGCAAGCAGGGGGAGAGAGAGAGGACTCCTGTTTGGGAGCCGTACGCAGCGTGGCGAGCACCAGGACCAGCTGCAAGCTGTTGGCCCCCGTACCTGGCTGCGGGTCGGTGTAGTCCACAGTGTATCCGTCGAGCTGCAGCAGCTCTTGAGGTTCAGCTTTTTTCTCCCGGTAGCTGCACATAGCAAATGTATATTGACTAACCTGAAGAAAATCACAAAGCTAAGATGGCACCGGGTGATCACGACAAGGCAATCCAAAGCGCTTACAAATGCCGTACGCTGACGGCGTGTTAACAGGGACTGGGGGTGGTGGGGTAATTTTGACGGTCATTGCCCATACGAGACAGACTAAACTTTTTACCAGGCTTTTGCAAAGCTCCCTCTTAACACACCCTGCTGCGGCAGGCATCTAATTCTCCGCATCGGTACATACAGCGGTTTAATTTCCTCCAAAAGAGGAAGCTCTGTGCTTTAAAACCCTCTATCATTCATCCCCAGACAAGTGCAAGAGTGACACCCTGTCACAAACAATGTGAGCTAAATTGCTAGGTGCCAGTCATATTAAAGCAATCTTAAGGTCCCACTGATCTCGGCAGTTGTTGTCATCAGTGCTGTAAATGGCAGCTCTCACTCCTCTGAGGTACCATCTGCATGACACGATACATTCAATGTCAAGCTCTTGACGGAAGCCGACTCAGCTGCAGGGGCTCTGCCAGGCTCCCGAATCGCCTTTAGGAGGCCATCAGGCCGCATCAAGACCCTGCGCGTACTCGGCGTGCTGCAATCTGGATGGTCGGCGAGAAGCTCGTCCAGGGAGGAGAGGAGAGGAGAGGATTCTCCGTGCCCCAGGCTAGGTACTCACGGGAAAATTTACTGTCAACTGATTTCAAATGACTTTGTTAAGGTTGTGTCACATCCTGGACGCCTGACGTAATTTTATTAGTCTGGACATTTTCTTGACCTCTGGAGGAAACTTTAAAACTCTGGTGAGCGGCAATGGATCATGCTCGTCATTTTTTGGAAGTCAGGAGAGATCCTGAATGATGGGCGAGCGGCTGTGCCGGGGGATTTTGCCTCCCAAACTCCAGACAAATCGCTGGGCTACACATACACATGCAGCACCTATTTTGGTGGCATCTGTAGCTAATAAAATGTCATTTATTTAAGTCAGGGGACCTGTCTATTGGCATAGTGTCTCCCAGCCGGCACTCGGTATCTTGCTGCCCTCTACGGGCTTCTGCTAGCTGCCAGCCTGCTCTCAGCAGCTCTGCCTGCACCGTGCCTTCCTCCAGGAACAGCTCCAAAAGCCACCTAAGAATAAACCCTATCATTAACACATTTGTGGGAGTAAGACTAAAAGTGATGCTTTAAGCATCTTGCATCCTCCTTAAAACTACCAGCACTGACGAAAGATTGACAAGTAACAGACCAATAGCAGGAGCACACCAGTGCATATTCTATGCTATGAACTTTGAATGCATACCATCGTACCGGCAACACAAAAATGAAAAAGATTAACACGAAGAAATCTAAAAATAACCTAGTGCCCCACAGCACAATATTCAGACGACTCCTGCAGTGTTCATTCAGTTAGACTTGCAGTATATTGCTGCCACCTCCTGGAGAAACTCTTGAATGTGCTTTATTTATGGTGAGATCCTGGAGATTTCATCTGAGCTGTGAGGATTTGATTTCTCTGTGTTAGACAGCCTGAACTTCAGGGACTGCATGATAAATTTAATTCCTGAAATGAGTCAGTGCTAACCTACACTGACATTGATTGAAAACATTAATACAACTACTGCTTTTTTCCTCTCATGTACACTCTGCAGCAACAGGTAGAATTCATACAGCAGTTCAGTTTCTCCTTCTCTGACCCTGAACAGGAGGTCAGGCTCTTCTTCATGTACAAATAATTCCTCTCATCTTTGGATCCAGAAAATATTCTTCATCCCTATCAATAAGCCAACCATACCAACACAACAGTAATGTATGGAAACACACACATGCATTTCAGAGCTTATACTCCTCATGTTGAAAGTTATAGAAGAAAGACAGATGTAGACAGTAGGCTCTGGTGGAGCTATCCTGGGACAGAGGCAAAGCAAACTGGTCTCTCCTGTTAGCATTCACATGATTTCCTTGGAAGAAGCTGCCCTACGTCATTATTAGAAGAGACCTCTAAGAGAAACCTACAGGTGGGTCTACAACATGCGATGAGCCAGGGCTCATCTGGGTTCACGTCCTGCTTCTCTACTCACACAGCTCAAGTGCGAAGCCCAAGCTCAGGATCGACCAAGAGCCTGCTGGCAGGAGGCAGGCTGGGATGAGGCTGGAAGGAGGAGACAGCTATCGATGGCCTCTGGAAAAGGTGCCAATGGTGCCATGCAGAGTGCCTACACTTAAACAACTCGAGCTACTGACTTCAAGGACTGGCATACCAGCCTGTCTGTCCTATGCCTAAAGCATTTACTGCTTGGGGTCAGAAAGAAGCTGATGCCCTGGTTACCAGTGCAATGTGGCTCCTTCCATTTATGAGCAGTGGTAAAGCAAAATCTGACAAAACAAGATTCTAGAAAGCTCAGTATGTCACGATCATGCTTCGCTGCTGAACAGCACTGTAGGGTCAAGTGGAGATTGCAGCTTGCCTTTCATCAGTCCTCTAAAATACTGTGCTTTGCAGAGCCTGCTTTCTGTGGAAGCTTAGAAGTGGCCAGACAAGTGAAACAGTTAATAGCAGAAATTAATCTTACAGCCTGCTGAGTTCACACCGAACCATAGCTGAGTATGAGAGCGAGCGAGCAGATGGGATGGGCAAGATGAATGCTTTGAGTAATTGGAAAAAACACAGATACAGAGAGGAAACTGAAGGAAGACAGAGGAGAAATCTCTGCCCAGTGAGGGACAAACTCTCAAAGCAGCTGGGATTTCATCCAGGGACTCGATGAGGGCCAGGAAAGGAGCATCTAAGGAAGCTGAACTGAGCAAAACTAAAAGAAGGGAAATAATCCAAGGCTGCCCTGGCTGGTTCATTACAAAAAAAAGGGAAAACGCTTTGAGAAATAATTTGAGACAAAAGAACAGAAGGAAAAGAAAGTGGGAAAAAAGAGTAAAAGACAAAGACATTCAGGAAAGGGGAAGCAGACAGCGGGAGACAAATGCCAAAGTTCACTGTTCCCAGGCTGCTAAATTAGATCTGACTTTCTTGGCACTCGACCATATTCTGTCACCAGCTATATAATCCGACTGATTAATAAATACAGTAGATATGTATTAACCAGTCCTGACTTCGTCCTCGTTTTTCCATCAGAGACTCCTGCTCTAGCGAGCACCACTTTCCCCAGGATCCTGCTCAAACCTGTTAATTGTCGTCCATCACACTCCGAGCTCAGTCATCCGCCTCCCCCTTTCTCACTGTTGACATAACACCGCCCCACTCGGGTTAAATCCTTAAATGGACCTTTCCTAGATTAACAGCATGCATTTTGTCCCAAGGGAGAGAAACCGTGCTAAGATACTGCCAGCTGCAATACAGCTTTCCACTTTGATGGGAGACTCTTGTCCTCTGGTTGCAGCTGTACGTTGCCTCCCAAGACCTTTCCTGACACAAATGAGCAGAGGAAATGATCTAGCTTAAAGAAACAAATGTAAAAACAACAGTTTTCACATCTCAGCACGTCCATTCAGCCCTAAACAACTGCACCCAGCAGTTGTCCTAACTTCTTCCTTCAAGCAGGAGGTGTGCGTGGTCTCTTCGGGCAGGGCTGCATGATGGGAAGCCATCTGACGTGAATATGGACAGGACATGCAGGACCTACCATAGCCAGGTGTAACGAGCTGTGGCATCTGTTTAACCAGCAGTTCCCTAACATCTTGTATTTATCATCAACACTCAAGGTTTCTCAAGAATCACCACCTATGCCCAGTTCTCAGCGATGGTCTAATTGAAAACATGATTTAGTATGATTATGGGGACCAGCTACAGGTCATTTACCTTGACTTGAGGACCACAGTCCAGGACTGCTGGTGTAGTACACTGCAATTTTGCTGAGTTATTTTAAAATTCTGTTGGTTATTCGGAGTTACTGAACACTTACTTAATTCCATTTTATCCCAAGTCAGCTGGGTTTTGCTACAAGCAGGAACTGTCACTGTTAGTCTAAATTATAATGAGTTCAAGGAGTCTGTCACTAGAACAATAGATCCAGGCGTAGAGACTGCAACTGGTTTTAATCTGCAGAGAGTTGATCTGCTTCCAACAACATTCTGCAAACACCATCAGACACAATCAGCTGAAAACTGCTTCAAGCTATTCAGCAGACATGTCATCCAGGTACCATGGAGTGTTAGTTCGCATATGCTGCCAGAGCACAGAAACAGGGTTACGACCAGAGAAGAACAGATTCAGTCTGAAATCTCAATGTAATTAATTCACTTGCTCTGAAGAATCATTATAAGAAATTTCCTACCACAAAGCCAGCAAACCCACCAGAACCAACAATAGTGTTGTTGCCAGTACAGCACATTAGACCTCGCAAAGAATTAATACAAGCTCTGTCAGCTATCAAAAATCCCAGCTTTTGCATGATCAAGGGTCTAACTGGCAAACTGGCTGAAATTTGTAAGCTGTGCTCAGGCAGCTGATATAGCAACTTCGGAAACACTTATAACATCTGTGATGGATGTACATTTTCTTTCCTAACCAGTCACGGAGAACTTTGCCCTAAATCGCTCCCTTGCTTTTGCTTACCACTGCCACTGGCGTTACTGTTGCCTTTACGAAGCATTTTCCTCACTTGTGATGCTGCGGACCACTTCCATCCAAGCTCAGGGCCATATTCTGCCATCACTTTCACGCTGCATATCTCAGGATTTAAAATTAGGCAAGTAACGAGTCTCTGCCATGTAATTTACATCTAATCAGTATTCTGCTCTTCTGCTGCTCATCTCAAAGGGTGTCTATGAGAAGGGTGGGCAGCATGCAGAGAGGACTGCAATTCATTCGAAACAGAAAACTATCCCCTCTTAACGCATGGGTGCACGCTGGAGGAGCACACGCACCAGCTCTGCCAGCCGCGCCACGCTGTAAACCTTCCCCGAGGGGTTGAACCGAGTCCACCCAGCAATGCACGCGCTGGCGAGGTGAGGCCCAGTTCTAGGAATGGCACAAAGGAAACGCTCTC